AGTGTGTGTGTGTGTGTATGTGTGTGTGTGTGTGTGTGTTCAGGAGGTTCACATCTGGAAAACATTTGCTGGTGTTGTTTTTTCGGTGGAGGTGCTGAAGTTACCAACCCCCCAATCTTGCCTTTTTTTCCCCGCACTGATTCTTTTTCTTTATATTTCACTCTCTCTCTCTCTCTCTAATCCATATTCTCTCATGAGTTTAATTCTTTTCTGAATAGGTGACATGCCATATAGATCTGTATTGATGTTTAAACAGGCATCATTGGTCGATGGGACAGTAAGTTGTTTGTGGGTGGTAAAATGTTGGAACGCTTTCCCACATGCTCAGACCTTTATGGATCGTGACAGGCAGATAATTAAGACCACACCGTAAGTGTTTAAAGGTCTGCGGATGAAGTCAAGTTGTTTTAATATTATTATTCTTATTACAGAAACCAAGAAAAACAACTAGCAGTAGCTCTTCCAAGAAAAACAGGCCAGCATGTCAATAAGACAGTAACAGCTGAGCATACGACACCACAATGAACGAGAAATACAAGAATTACTGATAGTGTTTGACTCGTGATGGACAATAGCTGATGTTTTAAAGGGGCTTTGAAGGGGTCATGAACTGAGAAATCAAAATTCCCTTGATCTTTTGAAGAAGATTAGGAAATTATTTTTAATGAAGATCCAGATCGTGTCAGTAAGAACTCAGTCCTTTGTTCAATTAATTTTCGATGCTGTGCAAAACAGGACAGAAAATAGCCTAATACTTCTGAATTATGATGTTTTTTGATGTAAAAATCTTCATAATGTTATAAGTGGACCTCAGAGAACAGTACAAAGTAATTAAAAAGACAGTTTATGACACCTTTAATGAAGACAAATGTGAAGTATAAAATTTGTTTTTATAGTATGCAAGCTTTCTATGAAATATATTTAATTATAATAAGTCATTGAAATTGACTTTAACTCACCAGCCGTGTACAGTATATAAAGAGAGATTCAAACCATATTAGCAAAGTCACAGTTTAGATTTATATTTATTGTAAAATCTTATTCTGAATCATTGAATTGCTCTTAGTTTTATGAGTTTTACAACAGTCATTGTTTGCAAAAATGAAAGAGTACTGCAATCAGTCTTATTTTATCATTGAGATACTATTGTAGTTGTTATTAATATTTTGAATCAGTTTTTGTTTTTATAATTTCAGTTTTAGTAATTCCATTTAAGTTTGAGTAATTTTGTGTGTGTGTTTGTCATTTTTAGTTTTTATTAATTTTTATATCATTTTTAGTTATTTATTACATTAAATTAAACTAAATTAAAATGAGAAATACTGTCTTGGCAACTAGATGAAATAAAATGTATATATAATTTTATTTGAAGTAAATTAAATTATTTTTTTATGGTTATAGTTTTAGTTTCAGTTAACTATAGTAATCCTGACTGAAACTGAACCCAACCTGTCGCAAATACCCTGTGATTTCTCTTTTAAAATGGCATTTATTTTGTTGTGAACTCCAAATAGATCTCACTACGATGAATGTTTAATAGTAAACATTTTGAAGATTCGCGAACAGGCTGTCAATTCATAAAGTAATCAGCTGTTTGTCCACACTGCAGTGGGAGACTTTCAGAGCCAATCAAAAGAGTTTTGATATACAGTTATGAGTGTGAATTTTGACCAATGAGGTTTCGCAGTGGGCGGGGCTACCACAGAAACCAAAACAAAGCAAATAAAACAAATGCTCAACAAACTGTGCTGTCATGGTTTGAGGCCGGTTATGGAGAAAACGAAATGTAAAATATGAAATTTGAAAGCATTTGAATTTGTTGGTTGAAACTGACACAAGGGGAAACTACCACAGTTAGTGTGAATAATCTCAAGATAGCGAAATAATGTTAAATAAATTGGCCTGGCTAATCTATTTTAATTACTCATTTAAATAATTAATTCATTAGATATAAATTAAAACAAATCACATCGATTTCCATTATTGATTTCAGCACCATGGACAGCACAAACGATCAGCTTTCACGTCGGGAATCTCCATTACTTCCATGTGTTCCTTAGTTAATCACTTTGATTGCTTGATGCAAGTGCCAAGAATTTCTGAAATCCACTCCTCTGAATTAAATGCAGTGTTTCCGTCGAGTTTTTCTGGGATGGTTTGTGTCTTTCACCAACCATTTTGGCTTACCTGCCAATATATGACAAAAATACAAGAAATATTTGACAGAATTATCTTAAAGGAATATTTCACCCAAAAATGGATGCACTGCAGTGAATGGGTGCCGTCAGATTGAGAGTTCAAACAGCTGATAAAAACATCACAATAATCCACACCACTCCAGTCCATGTCTTGTGAAGACAAAAGCTGTGTTTCTAAGAAACAAATCCATCATTAAGGTGTTTTAACAAACAGTTGCTTCCAGCTAAAATACGAGTCCAAACACAAACCCTTTTACAAAGCCTCATCTTCTTATCAAGAGTGACTTGTTCTATCAGTTAAGATGATCAGCTAGAGATATTAAAGTCACATGGTTTTCTGAAGTTCTACCAGAAGGCTGTTTTAATGTGGTTTTGCCCATTAAGATGAGCTCTTTAATGGAAGTGCACAAAGTACTCATTCTCTGTGGTAAATACGTTAAATATAGTCGAGGGAAACGCTGTCGATTTTGTTGTTTTCACAGCGAAGCGAGGCTCATTCAAATAAACAGCTGATTTAGCTCAGCGGGGCTTGTATTATTTCAATCTGGGTAGCACAGAGAGTGGCCTAGCGTTTAGAGAAGCTAGCAAAGACCCAGCTAACAGGAGCGTTCTCAGAACTTCAGCTAACGCAAACAAACGTTCTTCCAGTAACGTTAATAGAATGTTAATGTTAATGTTAATGTTAGAGAGTTATCTGGTCTTTCAGAAACGTTAGCGCAACATTATTTATACATCATTCATAGAACGTTTTTCTGAAACATTTTAGTTGGATGCTTGTCTGCGTTTTTTAAAACATTAATACTTTCTAGTTTCAGATGGTTCCGAGAATATTCAAAACTAACTTTCCCCATAATGTTTGCAAAATGAGAAAATGGAATGTCTTGGTCCACATGACCAAGAAACGGTTCAGCGAACATTCAGAAATGTTATCAAAACATATTTCTGTTAGCTGCGCTGACGTCAACAAGCCTCTTTTTGATTTGATCGCTGAACCTCCAGCAGTGTTAATTTCATTGACGAATAATTCTCGTCATAATTGTCGTCAACTACATTTTTTTCACCGACGATAACTAAAACGAAAACTCTTTTTGAATGACAAAAACTATGACGTAAATCTATTGACATTTTCGTCAACGATTAAAACCAGACGAAAATGTTAGGGAGGGACGATTTGGGATGAGATTCATTCAGAACGAATCTGCTGCGTGGTTCGGAGGTTATGCGTACATATGAACCGGCGGAACAGCTAAAATACACTTGCTACACGTTGCATAAAACGTTTAAAAAATGTCAATATGTGGGAGTAAGAGAAGAGCAGACATATGGAAGCACACACACAGAAAGCGCCTCTCACAGCGCGCGAGTACTCTCTTGCGTCTCATGAACGGAGAATTACACACAAAATGATGTCGAATTGTCCGTTTTGACGAGTATTCACGTAAACACAGTTGATTACATCTTAAGTGAATGTAAACAGCAGGGAGAACTACAAGTTGTTGTGGGTTACAGGAAGAACATTTTAAGTATGATTGCTTAGAAAAGTAACAATTGCAAGCCTCTTAAATAAATAAATACATAAATAAATTCTGACTTGGCAAATATCACAGTCAAATTTATTAGAATGTTTAAAACAATCCTTCTTTCTGTTTGATCTGTTGTGAAATGAATCTGGTCTCTCTGATGAAGACCAGAGGAGTTAAAGTGACTCTCCGGTTCTCCCTGGCACAGATTTAATCAAATTCAAACCCATAACTCAACAAAACTCAATTCTTACCGTCAGAATAGACTTCAGTTTCAAAGACAACATCCGTCAGGTTCAGATAAACATTTTTTGGGTCGGTGAGTGATACTCAAAACCAGAAATTCAATGGAGCCTTATTTTGGGAAATTAAATGTAACCCAATTCTTTGGGGAACGTGAGGATTGGTGAAAGATTGGCAGAACAAATGATGCCACAGGAAAGATCCGCTCACAGAAAAAACACAGTTCTTCAAGACAGATTTGTGAAGGATTAACAAAACTTTACATTATATAAAGTTAGCTGCATGTGAAGAATTGAGTCTGAAAGTTAGTAGTGTTTCGGACGTTGTCTGGAGGTCAGTGTTCATTTTGACAGCATATTTTGATTTAGTTTTAGTCATAGTCTTTTGACTAAAATGCCATTTAGTTTTAGTCATATTTTAGTCATCTGAATTGTTTTTAGTTTTAGTCGACTAAATATCATAAGATTTTAGTCAACTAAATTACAGTAAATTTAGTCGGCTAAAATCTAATGGGTTTAGTTACAGTGTAATGCATTTATTAAGCATTTCTCAAAAATGTCCAAACTCATTATATAGGTTTGATATTAAGGTTTTATCATGATAGACACTGATTTAACTGTTGTGACACACAACATGCAACAGACAGGTACAATAATATCTCAATAATGTGGCACTTGGACATTTCTGACCAGTCAAAGCATTTCAGAAATGTGAATATATAGGACAACTCGAAAGTTTGGGGTCAGTAATATTTAATTTTTTTTTTTTTAATAAGTCTCTTCTGCTCATCAAGGTTGCATTTATGTGATCAAAAATACAGTAAAAACAGCAATATTGTGAAATATTATTACAATTTAAAACAGCTGTTTTCTATGTGAATCTCTGTTAAACTGTAATTTAATGTAATCATTCTAATATGCTGATTTGCTGCTCAAGAAACATTTCTGATTATTATCAATGTTGAAAACAGTTGTGCTGCACGATATTTTTGTGGAAACTGTGATACATTTTATTTTTCAGGATTCACAGATGAACAGAAAGTTCAAAAGAACAGCATTTATTTGATTTTGCATTTTATGCAACCAGACTTAAATGCTTCAGAAAAGTGGTGTTTCTGTAGGTTACATCTATCTGTCTACCCATAACCATTGGATTGGTAGTTATAAAGAAAAAAATCGAATCTTGCTTCTTGTATCTATTTTATGATTCATAGTAAACATTCTTCGTCATGTTTTCAGGAAAAAGAGGATGAGGAAGAAGACAAGAAAAGTGAGAAACTGGAGCTTGAGGATGAGCTGCTGTTCGAAGACTTCGAGCTGGGAGATGAAGACCGTGAACTTCCTGAGGAAGAGGAAGTGGACGTAGAGGATGGGGAACTTGAGGAGGCCGACGTCGAAGAAAGTACCAAAATGAAGATCCTGCGGCAAATAGCAGACGTGGCGTCCAAACTCAAAGAAATCGTTGGCAATCTGATTACCACTGCAGGAAAAGTAGTCGTAACCATATTATTGGGCCTCACAGGTAGGTAGTGTTGAGACAGACATCGCTCACGACACAGGATCAATAATCAGCATTCATTTATAAACTGAAGATGAATACAAGCTCAAGTGTGTTGTTATATCCCAAAGATCAAACAAAAAGAAATAAAACATCACACACCATTAAAGGAATAGTTTACCCAAGTGTTTACTCACCCTCAGGCCATCCCAGATTAGGATGAGTTTTTTTCTTCATCAGGTTTGGAGAAATGTAGCATTGCATCAGTGTCTCAGCAATGGATGCTCTGCAGTGAATGGGTGCCGTCAGAATGAGAGTCCAAACAGCTGATAAAAACATCACAATAATCCACAAGTAATCCACAGCACTCCAGTCCATCAGTTAACATCTGGAGAAGACAAAAGCTGAAACTAATCCAGCATTAAGACGTTTTTAACTAAAATATGAGTCTATAATCCATAATAACGCTTCCTCCAGTGAAAAAGTGTTCTGGTGTGAATCAGGAGAGAAATCTGCACAGATCAAGCAGCGTTTAAACAGCTCTAAACACATATGTGGCTGGATTTTGATGAGAGAGACAACAGCAGATGCACTTTTTCACTGGAGGAAGAGTTATTATGGATTATGGACTCTATGGTATTTTAGTTAAAAACGTCTTGATGGATTTGTTTCAGCTTTTGTCTTCTCCAGATGTTAACTGATGGACTGGAGTGGTGTGGATTACTTGTGGATTATTGTGATGTTTTTATCAGCTGTTTGGACTCTTCATTCTGACGGCACCCATTCACTGCAGAGCATCCATTGCTGAGACACTGATGTAAAAGTTTTCAGCAAATTTTCATTTTTGGATAAACTCTTCCTTTCAGTGCAAAAAATCTAGTAATTTCAATAGGAATCCACATAATTGGGAATTTTGTGTAAGGGAGAAAGATTTTCCCATGCAAATTTTGCAACGGGTCCAAATTTGACTTTTTACATTGCTTCTTTTGGACACAAATTGTGCCGAAATTCCACTGCACCTTTAGAATTGGCTCTGGAAATGACTTTTCTCAGCCTTCTCTCAATGTGTCCTTGTTCCAGGTATGATGTTGCCTTCTCTGACCTCCACTGTGTATTTCTTCACCTTCCTGGGCCTGTGCACCTGGTGGTCTTTCTGCCACACGTTCGACCCGCTGCTCTTCAGCTGTCTGTGTGTCCTGATGGCCATCTTCAGCGCCGGACACCTCATCATGCTCTACCTCTACCAGTTCCAGTTCTTCCAGGAGGCCGTTCCGCCCGGAAACACTTATGCCAGGTGAGACAACACTGCCTGTTACCTGTCAAAGAGCTGGATTTAATGGGACATGAACGCTGGTGCGGTTTGAGCCCTAAATGTATTCAGGATCAATCCTGTAGACGCGTCCCCACCCTTTTTTAAAACATCCCGTCAAGGCTGTTGCACTGAGCACCAATGCTTAACTTGTTCAGATTTGCTGTAGTATGTAGGACTTCAGCTGAATGCTTTGATTCATGCTGTTGCTCGTTTTGCACATAAAAGGTTTACATCCCGACCGCAAGCTTAAACCGATGCAGCATGAGTCGCCTGTTCGGCCCGCATGCAGCCGGATCCCCTTACTGTGACCAATGAGATTACGGTGCTGCTTGAAAATCAAACACAAAAGCAGAATTGAATTAGAACGATCCTCCGAGCGGGAATCCTGCATGTGCCTGCGAGTGTCTGGTGGCCGAGGAGCTCAATCACGCTGATTTAGCAAACTACCCTGTTGTGTTATGTGGCTTTACAGTGGCGGGGGTCCGGTGTCAACCTGAACGAGCCAGAATGAACTGAGATCATGTGTGCTTATCTTGTCAAGCTGCTTCATGGTTAAAGGCTGAACCTAACTGAAATGTACAGGGAATGTCTTCTAGAGCAGGGGTTTTCAAACTATGGGGTCTGTGGGATTATGTATATATATATATATATATATATGAAGACTTGCAAAAACCTCTAAGTCTGTCTGAGATTTTTCTTTCAAATTACCATTTCACCTATGAAAATATCATTGGACATTATTTAAAATAAGGCATTCAATAACTGACTGATAACCTTTTATTTGCCGGGTGGTGGGGGGG